TCAACTAAATACATGTACGCATCAGACCGGCTATCATCGAGACCGCAAGGAATCGTCTCGACGAGTATTCCACAAAATCCATATAGAAGACGAAATCCTCGAGCAGAGGTCGTAGTAACACGTCAAATTCTCGAAGACTTGTGACGGCTGGATTCAAGAAATGCAGGGATCCGCCCGAAAAACTATGATGATGAGTCGTGAGATAAGTAAAAATAGAGATAGATAAGCTAATAAAGAGATTAACAGTTATAAAGATTGGCCAGGGCAATATTTCCCTGCGTATCGCGCGTACTATGTGGTAAAACAAACATGGAAATCACCTTCAGCTCTTCCATCGTCTCCAATTTAAGTTCTTCATACTCTTGCGGATCCATATTGGACCTTGAAATAGTTAATTAAGTGAGAATGGAAAACCTTTGAGTTGAAACCTAGCGCGACAAAAAATTGATTTGACACAAATTCAAAAAGAAAAAGAAAAGACGACACACTTCTTTAATTTCAAACCATTTCCCAACTCTTTGAAGACAAAGTCTACTTTGTTTCTTCAGACTTCAAGTGGTCATTTTAAAGCTTAAATATCGGCAAATTCAGTACTATAGGTTTTTTTTGAAATTCAATACTATAGCCTTTTTGAAGCGCTGTAGCAGCGAGAAGGTGATCATGTCTCACATTCGACGGACATTTTTGCTCAGTCAAAGCTTGTGAATGGCCCTTTGACAGCTTTTTAGTAACTATTTGATAGTATCAATTTTGGTGAATCTGAAGTCAAATTTGTTTTAGCTCGAGACTCTCGCAAAGAAGCATCTCAACCATCAGTCAGCAAATAAGCTGCATTGTACTAAGAAGGCATTCTCAAGAAACAAACACACTTTCAGACTCATCGAGATTTAAGCTATCGAATGGCTACTAAAAGCCTGGGAGAAGGCGGAAAAAGGCCTTGTCTCCATGCAAACAAAGCGTTAAAAAGGATTAAATCAAAGGAATTGTGCTGGAAAGTTCGAAAGAGGCCAAAACTATCAATAGGTTGAGATGCGGTCACTTTTTACGATGTCAAGAAAATACCCACGAACTTCTCCTCCTCAATATCGCACAACTGATGTATCAGTCGATCCACTTGCTTTTGCAGATTTTCCACAAGCACTGCATCGGCCATTCTGAAAAGAAGCAAACTCCCTACTTACTCGTCAAAGAACCACTTCCGATAATCCTGCAGGGTCGGCAAAAATTTTTATCTAACCGTTTCTTGAACAAACTAAGTCGTGATTAAAAAGTCTCGGTAATGCAGTGGTGAGCAGACGTTGCCGAAAAGAATGAATCGCAGGTTCAACTCCCGTTATGCGGTCTACTTTTTGTAATCAACATTACTGGACAACTACAGGGCGTTTACAGAGATAAATTCAGTTTTAGCACAGATAAATAAGTAAAGCAAGATGCCGCCTATCTCTTGACCATGACATTGTTCGATAGCTCAAAGTCTTTACTAAAGAGCCAAAATATCACTCTGTTATTCTACGAAAAAGTAATGGAGGTGCTTGGTTGATTGACGATCGTAGACAACCCTATCTTTTTAGACTTTGAAAAAGGCGAACACACCGATACAACAGCTATTCAAACATATCTCACACTTGCTCTCTTTTGTTTTCGTGGAACCACAATAAGACAGGCATACACGTACATATATCCTAAGATATACGCATATATACGCATGTCATACACAACTTACACATGTATATGCTCATATTGATACATGTACAGGAAGAAATGCATTTGGATATGCACATACTGTATATACGTACATATAGATGCCCAGTAGTCTTATGGTCATATATATACATAATTATATACACATATATACGATGCATATTTATAAATATCCGTGTGCATATGTGTATATATTTACACAGGCGCAAATATGTACATATATATACACATAGATCTATATGATACATGCATGCATATATATATATATATATGATATTTTACATAATAGGCGCAAAATAATGATCCCACCAATTCTTTTTTTGCTGTAACAAAAGTAAAAATAAACTTATGCAAATTCCTTTTTTTGCTTAGAGCGTGTAAAAAAAAAACGCTGTTTATTTATATGCTTTTTGAATGTAAATGACTTTATATGACAGTTTTTATAAGACTGTGAAGATGACGACTATGGCACCCGAAAAACGCCAATTCTTTAATTGCTAATTTGTAATTTAAACCTGGTAATTTCAAGTGGTAATCTGAGGATGAAAGGTCAAGAGAGTAAGACGAAAAAAGTAAAATCTCCTTAAAACCTTCCACCTCAGCTGTTATATGACGTTGTCGATCGGTTTTTCCAACATGAATTCCACCATTTACATGCAGCAAAATAGCGACATTCGTGCCGTTTAGGCTTCCTAATGTCATTTTTGTAATGCAAATGACATCATTCAATTACTCATTTTCTTGCGAACATTTTGATGTACAACTTCCCCATACTTCCTCTAAGATGGAGCTGTCGTGGGAACAAATTCGCTTGCTACTCATGCAAAAAAAGGCGCGTAGAGAAAATGCTTATGAGGCGGCGCGCAAGACTAATGAAGTTTCCTGTGGATGGCCCAAGCGCGACTGATCCTCCAGACTGTTCTCTCCAGCTCTAAACTTCGCTAACCACTTCCCAGCCGTCCTTTCTGAAGCCGCATCATCGTCCCAAGCCCCCTCCAATCTTGTGCGCCGCTTCACTAGCATTTTCCCCTATGCGCCATTCGTCCATGAGTAGTAGCAAGCGAATTTGTTCCCACGACAGCTCTATATCAAAACAAGTATAGGCAAGTTGTTTACCAAAATGTTCGCAAGAAAATGCGCAATTCAATGATACTATAACCAACAAGCGATTTCGGTTACTTTTGAATAATAAATAAAAGTAAAGTTCTCGCAGATAGCGTTTTTCGGGTACAAAAGTCGTCGTTTTCGAAGTCTTATAAAAACTACCATATAAGATATTTTGAATATAAAAGAGACATAAGTAATCAACGTTTCTAACACACTTTCAAACAAAAGACTTTGCATATCTTAATTCTTGTCATTACTACAGCAAAAGACGGCGGAGTCATACTTGTACATTTAATATATATGTACGTGTATATACACACAACGCATACACACGTGTATGTCAATGTACATACCTATACGTAAGCATATAAACACTTATATAGATCTATTAATATACACATGCATAAACATATAGAAACGCATACACAATTACGTATATGAAATATATATATATATATATATATAAGTATTTGCCTAGCACCTGGTCTAATAACTCCGGCGATGTCCGACAGATGACTGAAGAGGATTTGAATGTCTCGGCACCAACAATAATATCCAACGGACTTTCGCAAAACAATTGACATACTATCAATATGGCGTAATGTGGAGTGTCGTCCTTATATATTAGGTGGTCTGATGAGGTCACAGCGAGCGACGTCGTCGTTGTTATTGACCGCCTGGGTTTATTCGTTAATAATTGGGTTAATCGTATTCATTCGGTCCACGTGAAGGTGTCACCCGTGAAATTACGAAATAATTGGGCCCCGTCCCCTCTCCCCCCATTGGATATCGCCGATCTTTCGTAGTGTCTTCGCCTTCTCCTCTTAACATCCGGGTCTCTTCGTCGACGTGGAGAGCCTCTATTCATAAAGCTTTGTGGCTCTTCACGGTCTTAGTTAGGCCTTGATGAAGTTCATGAAGTCCTGTGCGACTGCGCCGCTTTAAGGGTTTGCTCCAAAAGGCGGTTCTTGATCTACTCTTGGGCTGCCTTTGATCTACAACGTAGGTTTTCTTTATGACAACAAAAATACCCTTCATAGAGGCATTCAGTGGTTTTTTTCTGTTATCCGTGCTTTGTTGTGACTCCTCAGGAAAAGGGCAATTTCAAGGTTTTCTTGAAGTCCTACTAATCTTTCGATAGCCTAAATCAATAGAATTTGAACGGTTTATTTACTTTCAAAATGCCTTCGTTATTGTGCTAAAATAGCGAAAATTAAATTCTCTTCCTCATTCAAACATTTCTCGTTGAAGAAGGCTATTTCTCTAGACTTCAATAATCAATCGATAGATCAAATCCCAAGGAATCCAATGACGTAATTGATTTTTAAAACAGACTTTTTGGTGCGTGTAACAGCGAAAATAAAATTCTGTTCTCATTCCTATATTCGACACTCTAGCTCGTCGATTTCAACACTGTGCTCTGTTCAACAAGGACTTTCCAGTGCGCTACAGTAGCCAAAATAGCGTTGAGTTTTGCGTAGTGAAACATCAACACCAAATCACCGTGGTTTTTTGCAATGCCAAATTTGCGAAATCCAATCTCTTTGAATGATTACAGCGTACCAAGAAGCCTCTCTCAAAAACCAAATGCATCAATGGAATCCGCGAAATTTGATCTATTGATTACTTACTAGAAGCTCAAAGAAACAGCTCTGTACAGCAAGAAGTATTTGGATGAAAACATAATTTTTGCTGTCGATCATGATCAATCAATCAATCAATCAGACACAATCATAAAACCATTTTGGAAATAAAATACATCAATTTAATTCATTTGCTATCGAATGATTATTCAGGTTTCAAAAATGACCACAGAAAGGAGGTTTTTTTCTAGGGGTTGAAGCGGGGTACGGATAGCGGAAAAGTACTCAGTCTATAAATAGCCACGTTGGCTTGCTGTTCCCTCTTAGAACGTATGACTCTGATACAAAAATACTTTGAATACTTTTATTTGCCATAAATATGGTCGAATTTTTTTCTGCTTTTTGTGGCATCTTTTGTCTTTTCTGAGAAAGCAGTATTGTTTGAAATGTGTTAACCCGAAGACATAAGTCATTGGAAATATGTTGACCCGAACTGTCAGTTCAACTGAGTTCAGTGTCAAAATGTGCTTACCAGAACAAACTCGTCAAGGGTTAATTACTGACGACTTCGATAGTTCATATCGAAGAAAAAGTGGCGCAAAGCGGTATGCCTTGGTGACGTAGTGATAGCATGCGCTCCCTATAAGGGTGAAACGCGAGTTCAACTCGCGCCTGAGGTGAATTTTTGTGTACCATTCATTCACAAGTAGATATTTCGATAAATCTTGTAACAGCTCGAAGAAATCGACTTTCCTCGTCACAACTGATGAGAAATATCTTGTGAATATATCTTTTTATAAATGAAGCTCACACGAGATTGATACTTCTCTCTTCATGACCTTTCCTATCCAAGTGACTTAGGGGCTCTCTGAGGAAGGCGAAATCGTCGAAACGTTAGCTATCGATTTTGAAGGGAGAATCACCCACTTAGTTTGAGTATTGTTTGATGAGTAAGGCCTTTATCTTCGAGACTCGTCGGCTTTGTCTTCTCGCTATTGATGTTTTTTCTGCCTTTTGAAATGGACGAGGGCTCATCTCTTTGAGCTGGAAATTTCCATTAGTAAAAGCGGAAGCGGTTTGAATGGAAATTTGAAGCTGGGTGGAAAGAAAAAGATCTATTCCAAGGGACAAGACGAACGTCAACAGCGAGAGGACAAGGCCAGTGTTTTTCGTAGTGATGTCTGTCGCATATGTCAACCTGACATTTCCCAAGACCAACTTTCTATTCCCTACGCAATTGTCTGAGTAATCCCGTGTTTTTCCTGTGCTTTTTGATGGAAAATTCGATGGTAATAGTAAAATTCACTGAAATTAGCTTAGAGTAGTCCCAATATTTCTTATGTTGCTAGTGACTTTCGCAGTTTTATGATTTTTCAAATGTACCCTGAGAGGATTAAGTTGTTAGCAAAAAAAATCCAACCTCAGCTGGGAGTTGAACCCGCGTTCATTCATCTCGTGGACGCGTGCTACCACTACACTACTGATGCTACCGCTCACTCACCACTCATCGACTCAATTCTCTCAACGTAGAGTAAATTTTACTCAAATTCCATATTTACTGATTTAGGATTCAATAAATCTAGTTACAATTAAATCTACGATTGACTAATAAATTAAAATCGAGTAAACTTGAGTTTAATTGATTGAATTTCCAAATTTTTCATGTAAATTTTAATCGTAACTTTTACATTTTCCTGAATACTTTTCAATGATTTATTTTCTTCATTGTATTTTGTTATATTATATTCTTATAACACTGCATCTTTATTTGATGTTACACATAATTGTCAAATTTTTTCACAACATATTTTATAAATTTTAATTCGACTAGTTTAAGTTAATAATTAATTGATTCTTCTAAAGTTCATTCAAAAAAAAATTCATCTAAATTGAATTGATCCAAATTTCACTTTGATTAATTAACTAATCAATCAAAAATAAGTGAATTTCACCACATGTTCTAAAAATAATGGCTGTCTCGGCGGTATCGCCTACTTCAAAGCCTAGAAAGGTAGATTTTTTTTCGTTGGGCTTGGGAAAGTGCTTGGCAGAAGAGATTGCGAGTCAATTTGACATTCTTAGGCTTTGGAGAAAGCGGTACGCCGAGATATCGGCCATTATTTTATTGTAGAGGTTCTCTACTCGGTAAACTCAACAAGTTCGCTTCAGTTTATCGAAAAGAAATGAACGCTGATCTTTGCTTCCGTTTGTTGCTAATGTCGTTAATTGCAAATGTTCAAAATTATTGCTTTGTAGACATTTGAAAAGCATTCTGTTTCCTCGTTGAACTAAGAGCGAACACACGGGCACTCATCGATTACTTTTTCTTTCTTTTTTTTTATTCTCTCCCGTTCTTCGCTGGAAGATTTAGAGCTTATTTCATAGAGACCACTTTGAATGATTGTTTTCCTGATGACATTTTCAGTTTATTGGTTCCATGGTTTCCGGTGAATCTATGCATGGGGCACAATGCGTCCACGGGCGAGTAACATCAGCACCTATGTAATCGCGAGTGGGATTGTGAGTATACGTGGGAAGGTTAACAAGATCCCGTAACAAGAAACAAACCCATTTATCTTTCAAATGCGCATCATTCATCCCTGGAACCCATCCTTTAGGGGCCCATTTCTCTCTGAAATCCACATCTACGGGGACCATACCCCTCCCTTTAATCCACTCCTGCAGAGAACCTATCTCTCCTCGAAAGAAGCGCCGACAAAGAGCCTATCCCTTCCTAGAATCCACACTTACAGGGAGCCCATCCCTACGTGGTATCCACTCCTGCAGGAGCCCCTCCCCAGATCCACACGTAACTGCATGTTCATGTGCAGACTACGGGCTAACTAGGCGTTTCCATTGTTTCCTCGATGGAACAGACACCTTTTTGAAACTGGTCGGTAGCGGAGCATTTTGGTGAAATATTTATTCATCTCTTCTGGTCATGACAGAGATTTGGCTAAAACTAATGATAAAGAGATGACAAGCGTATTTTCTAGGTTAAACCTGTTAGCAAGGATAATGATTCGACCCCAATATTCCTTAGAGGATCTTCTCTTCTCGAATAGCGATTATTTATCTTTTTCGCTGACACGCTCAGTTGTGACGCAAAATCTGCCTGCTTCTATTCGGAGGTCCTCGTTTTCACAAAAAAACTGTGTTCCTGGTTGGATGGTTTGTTTGCACATGAAGCACCTGCTTCCCTGGAGTACGAGAACGTCATGTAGGCTCGCGTCTGGGTTTTCGTTCCATAACAGGTAGACATTGGTTTTTGTGCATCAGACTGAGGCTTATCACTTTGATACATAGTTTTCTCGACGATAAAATTGACTGAAGGCTTTGGTTAGCCACTGCTAGGCTACTGATGAGTGGTGAAATTTCTACAACCTTCTTGACCATCGCCAGTGATGGACCACTCGCGGTGCATAGTGGAGTATGAAGTCTAAACTTCGGCTAATCAACATCTAGCTTGAAATTTGAATGTTCAAAGCCATTGTCACTGTGTAACCACCAAGTTTATGTTTCATAAGCTTTAAGACGATCCATTTTACAAATAGAAACTGAATTTTCTTCTTCATATCGCAGAGAGTAACTTGTAACATCTAGATTTTCGTGCCAAAGACTGTGAATTAGACTCTCGTCGTGGAGCTGTTTTTTGTCAATCGACGACCAGATTGTTGATGAATCATTTGAGGCTTTTAAATCGACCGGAAGATAGGGTAATAGAGACCACCTTTCATTTTCAATCGCAATTTCCCACTCCGTGACTCATGCTATTGAAACTACGTTTAAGCGAACTGTCCAGGGCGGCGATATTAACTACACTCGTAGTCAATAGGAGTATTTGTATAACTCTATTAGTAGAGAGCTACTAATCACCATGTTACTGTCAGTTTCTTCCAATTATGCTGGTCCTTTTCGTTATATGAAGTTCTAGATAAATTTTGCAGTGAATATTTGCTGGCACACATTATCTTGGCTTTTGAAACCCATTGCTTCCTCTCACATTTTCTCAAATGATGGTCTTTCGGGACTTGGTTTATCATGAAATGATCCTTTCAAGTCGTAACAATAGCATCGATTTGCTTTGTGAGTCCAAATCTGGGTCTAGAGGACGAGCACAGGAAAATTTTGTTGAATCAGGGACGAGGAATCGGCTGTGGTGTGCCTTGCACGGAGACTGTTTGAGATAATTTCTACTGACGATGCGTTCATTGCGAAGGAGAGGTCGCCGAGGATCCTTGGACACTTAACATAACACTTGGCGACCATTATAACGTAACCGCTGTATTTCAAGTACAGCTTTAGGGACTGTAAAATTTGCCCACCCTTCACAATTTAGCAGTCTGTGGCCATTTGAGTGGTATAGGAAATGTTAGGAGCCCCAATAAATTTTGGCTATTTAGTTCAATGGATGACAACGAGATTACCGTCATGAAATTTGTAATGATCTTTTCTGTAGTGAAAATGGTCCATTTATCGATCTATTTCTGACGAAAGATGGGAAATGAATCTCGTGTTGAAATAGACGTTCAGCAAGAGATAGAAATTAGGAAGAAGCTTCTGGACATTCTCAAATACTGGGTTTGCACCAAAATGTGGCTATGGTGAATTTATCATTTTCGACAGATAAAATTTTATCACAAATTTTTCCGAATCTGTGACGAAACAACCATAGGAGAAGGGGGAGGTGAAATTGCTACGAAAGCGGTGATGTCCTACAAGTACTTCGGCGAATGTTTAGCCAAACTTGACCAAGAGAAAAACTTTAATCACCTTTCAAAATAGCTCCTACCTAGCATAACTACTGCCTCAGAGAAGCGAAATGGGTTAGCAGACCTCGGCGGGACCTCTTACTAACCAATAGAAAGTTGTCTTGTGCATCTCGCCCCCTGTATTCTAATGAGATGTTCGCAACTAAAAATGCTAGATTTTCCACTTCTAGGCACGATTAGCCTCTTCGTCGAAAGTCGTCGGCAAAGCTTTCTATGCTATATCGGCTACTACGTTGTTCACTCGAGTCGAGGCTACATTACGCTACAGCATTTCAAAGTAGCTGTCCATCAGGGACCATAATTTTCGTTTAAGAATATTGAGTGGCACGCGAAGTACGATACCAGTCAGAAACTGGAACCGTGTTTCACCCCTTTTGAGGGTACGTTGTACCACTACACTACTGAGATCATCACTTTGCTACCACTCTTTCTTTTAAAAGAGAAACTATCGTAGCTGTCAACAACCGACGTCTCACGAGTTTGATCTGTTAAAGGTGGTAGACACGTGTGTGGTGGTGCGGTGGTAGCACGTGCCTCCGGAATGGGTGAAGCGCGGGTTCAACTCTAGCCTGATGTCCAAAGTTTTTGTTTTGCATACCACTCAATACATTCAGATGTAAATTCAGAGCATCCTGCCATTGCTAACAAGCATTAAAAGTTAATGAACTCATCTGTTCCGATAGAATTTTTAAGCCTTTCATGACGTTTGGTTTGGAACCTCGAGTGGTAGACGTACGTTTCGGCTTTCTCAAAGTCTCATCAGTACCCGCCTACCATTCGACTGACCCTTGCTATCACAGGGAATCGACTCCGAACAAGTATTATTCCACATCAAGTGAAATGATCGCCTTATATTGTGTTCCTTCAGAGTGATTGATTGTCGATAACATGCTATACGGCTGTAAGTG